AGGCACTGTACTGCCAATGGCTCTACACCACTCCACTAGTGCCCTTGCTGATACCTGCTAGCAGCCCAGACCGCGGCTGCCCATGTCAAGGGAGGACTCCCAGGCCATTGGTTCCTTGGGGTTGTGGGTCAAGACCATCTGCAGTCCCCCCCTGAGTGAACATCAGCCATGCTGCAGCCACTGGGGGAACACAGACTCGTACCAATGAGAGTGTACGTTCACAACAACCATCTCATAAATTCCAACTGTGCTTGCTCACCTCAGATTGTACATTTAAAAAAAGACATACACATGTGCAATATAAAGCTGATTTTTAAAAACAAAATTTTAAAAAACCACTTAATTTAACACTTCTTCCCTGTTCACCTATTTTTTTTTCTCTTCAGCCATTATTAGCTCTCAATGAACAGAGAACTTCAGGACTTGCCTCTTGTAAAAGCAAGCAGCAAACTACATGGGCTTGCAAATATCTCCAGCTCCAGCCTGGAAGGATTGCAATGCATTAATGTTAATCTCCTTGTTAACCTTCACAGCCACTGTCAATGCAGCTGTAGCTGCATCGAATGGAGGGTTTAAACGAAGACGCCCTGACTGAGGTCCAAAGGTTACACACAGTGTTCTAATAACATCTTTCCTACAGCAGGGAGACCAGAAGTGAACACTGTATTCCAAAAGTGACCTAACCGATGTCCTGTACAGCCACAACATGACATCTCAACTCCCATACTCAATGCACTCTCACTTCTCCTCCTCCCTCCTGCGACGGTTTGTCCTGCTCTGCATGACCTCTGCCCATTATCTAAATATTACGCTGTTGCAAGGGGAATGTTGAACCTAATTCTGGGAACAACTGACTTGTGCAGAAGCCTGAAAGTTGGTGAAGGCACCTTCACATTTGTCCCTGTTGATCTTTGCAACTTGAAGCAGCTGTAGAAAGCAGCAAACATTTGTAGAATTGAAATAATAACCAATCAACCATCAACTAACCTGCAATTAGTTGAAGACAGCGTTGGTGGTGAGGTCCTTACTGCTGCTAAACACATGTTAAGAATGGTATGAAATGAAGCATCAAGCTTCAAGATGGCACCATTGGCATCAAATTCATGTTGCCCTTTGAGTGATGCCACTTTCTGCCATTTGATGTTGATCTGGTGGCCATTCACTGTGTATAAGCTAATGCCCTCACCAGTGTGAAGTCTGACAGATTTCACCCCAAACATGTGCCCACCTACTGCCAACACCATTTGGTAACACTAAACCAATAGGCTCAACCAATAGGCTTCAAAGGAGCTCCATTTCTTGCCCGTGGTATTTTGTTCCTGCTGGAGTGATTTCAGAAAACTTTGGTTTACATATTGGCAAGGGTTCAGGCAGTGAAACCATGCATTTCTTTTTAAATACATTTAGACTTCTTTGTGTATCCACATTTTGGCTGGGCAAAAAAAAATAATAAAAGGGTGGCACTGTTACATCAAAACCCATTTCAGGTGGAAATGTCTTGAAATTAGATTCTTTGCACAGCACTGCATAGATGGTTCATCCACTTCTTTAACAGAGCAATCAGACCACTTATTTTAAATAGGTCAGACACAGTTCGACTTCAAATAAAGAATTTTTGTTCAAATCCATTAAGTACTCAGGGAGCTGAATTTCAAGGCTAAAATTATTATAATTTAAAAAATACAAAAATTTACAAAAATAAATGCTGCATGGTAACAGCCTGTACACGTTTCACTATTAGAAAATTTCACCAGATGTACAATTTGTTTATTAATTCCATCAACTCCAGGTAAAGATGGACTTGATTCTAAATATAATTCTCATCCACGCTTAGATTCTGGATAGTTCAAGCTACTCATTCATTCCAATTCCACACAACATTTTAACCCAGACAGAACATTTAAATACAAAACACTTCTGCAATTATTCACATTTCTAACCCTGAACACAGTCCAATCAACCTGTTGCCCAGCTAAATAGATAAGCTGCAGAGCTGGGCTGAGAGGTGGCAAATGGAGTTTAATGCAGAAAAGTGTGAGGTGATTCACTTTGGAAGGAGCAACAGGAATAGAGTACTGGGCTAATGGTAAGATTCTTGGTAGTGTGGATGAGCAGAAAGATCTCGGTGTCCATGTGCATAGATCACTGAAAGTTGCCACCCAGGTTGATAGCGTTGTTAAGAAGGCGTACAGTATGCTAGGTTTTATTGGTAGAGGGATTGAGTTTCGGAGCCATAAGGTCATGTTGCAGCTGTACAAAACTCTGGTGCGGCCGCACTTGGAGTATTGCGTACAGTTCTGGTCACCGCATTATAGGAAGGATGTGGAAGCATTGGAAAGGGTGCAGAGGAGATTTACCAGGATGTTGCCTGGTATGGAGGGAAGGTCTTATGAGGAAAGGCTGAGGGTCTTGAGGCTGTTTTCATTAGAGAGAAGAAGGTTAAGAGGTGACTTAATAGAGACATACAAGATGATCAGAGGATTAGATAGGGTGGACAGTGGGAGCCTTTTTCCTCGGATGGTGATGGCTAGCATGAGGGGACATAGCTTTAAATTGAGGGGTGATAGATATAGGACAGATGTCAGAGGTAGGTTCTTTACTCAGAGAGTAGTAAGGGCGTGGAATGCCCTGCCTGCAAAAATAGTAGACTCGCCCACTTTAAGGGCATTTAAATGGTCATTGGATAAACATATGGATGATAATGGAATAGTTTAGGTTAGATGGGCTTCAGATTGGTTTCACAGGTTGGCGCAACATCGAGGGCCGAAGGGCCTGTACTGCGCTGTAATGTTCTATGTTCTATGTTCTAAATCTGGAGACAGCAGCACATTTTGGAAGTTTTAGACTTTGGATCAATGTTTCATGTGTCTTTTTAGGTTGATTTGCCCAGGGTCACAAATGAACAGCTTATCTGCAATTAAACAAAGCCAGAACATCCACTGGCAAAGGAGTTAAACATTCAGTGGAAGTGAATTAAGCTGTGGCCATTTCTCCTTGTTAAGTGTGAACTTAGTTCAAACTTATGTACATGGCACAAAACAATTGGAGAAGGTGCAGAGAGGAGCTTTTAAACTGATTCCATATCAATATTGATGAATTAATCAGAGATTGTACCATCTAGAGAGAAAGCAGTTAATGGAGATCCTTAATGTGATGCATTAAGTATATGGTACAGAAAAAACAAACTGTACTTCAAAGCAGGCAGCATGAGCAGGACAGGGCAGCACAGTGGCTCAGTGGTTAGCACTACTGCCTCGCAGCACCAGGGACCTGGATGCGATTCCAGCCTTGGGCAACTGTCTGTGTGGAGTTTGCACGTTCCTCCCGTGTCTGCGTGGGTTTCCTCTGGGTGCTCTGGTTTCCACCCACAGTCCAAAGATGTGCAGGCTAGGTGGATTAGCCATGGGAGATTCAGGGTACAGGGATAAGGTAGAGAGGAGGTGGGTGTAGGTGAGATGCACTTTGGAGGGTTGGTGTGGACCTGATGAAAGCGAATGGCCTGTTTTCACACTGTGGGGACTCTAGTCTATGACCAGAAGATGTCAAGTTGAATGAAGTGAGAAGCAAATTCAAAACAGACATTTCAGGAACACTTATTCAGTGAAACAGTGATCAACAATCAGACAGAGGGTAGCAAACTATACAATAGGCACTGGAGTGTTGTAAATTTATTTGGATACTCTAATAGGCTCCTGCAGGGATTAACTCTGTTGGGCCAAATGGCTATTTCTCAGCCTGAACCTCGAGAATGTTCATCACTCAAACTGACGAGGAATTGAGCAACAAGGTTAACCAGCCAAATCTTGGAGGCAAATTTTGACCCCCTAGCAAGGATTGAGCAAACAAGATTGGGGGGAAATGATAGATGCACAGCCAATTCATTTTATTCTTCAAGTGGCAATGTTCAGGCAAGCACAGGATCACTCAGGGCAGATATACTGCAAATGTTTTAAACTGCCAATCATACCTTGTCTGCTCACATAGGATTTCTACTGTTTGATAGCCACACTGTGCAGGAAATGGGAATAAAGGTTAGACAGGATGAGCAGGTTGCCTTGGGGATAGGTTGGACATGCTGACTTGTTTCCACTGGAGTTTATCAGAGGGAAGGGGCGAAACCTGACCGAAGTGTGCAATATCCTGAACAGTCTTGACAAGGAGGATGTCTCCTCGCGTGGGCCAGGTCCCCTGTTTGAGGGCACGCCTTTCAAATTACAGGTCGCCCTTTCAGACGAGGGGTGAGGTGATTTTCTTCTCCTCCAGAGGTTCGTGAGGCTTTAGAGGTCTCTGCTTCAGGGGCAAGTGGGATCTTTTAACATTGTCAAGACAGGTTCTCGTTAGGCAGGAGTTTCAGGGAATGTGGATTTCGGAACGTAAACAGTTCAGCCATGACCTTATTGAAGGGTGGGCTAGGCTCAAGGGGCCAAATGATCTGCTTCTACACCTGTTCTGTATGTTTGCAAACGGTGGGGAAAGCCCAGAAGTCAGTGGTTGGTAACACATCAGCCACCACTTAATTGCTGTAGTGCAAAGGTCCAGCAAATTAGGAAAGCAGAGTGAATGCAAATGTTAGATTCTTCTTTGTTAAAACTTCCCGGTGAATAGCCTCTCCCTAATGCAGCCACAAGAGTGGCTCATTCGTTAGCACTGCTGCCTCACAGGGTTCAATCCCACCCTCGGGCGACAATCTTTGTGGAGTTTGTACATTCTCCCCGTGTCTGCGTGGGTTTCCTCCCGGTGCTCCGGTTTCCTCCCACAGTCCAAAGATGTGCAGGTGACTTGGCCATGCTAAATTACACATAGGATTGGGCACGGTGGCTCAGTAGTTAGCACTGCTGCCTCACAGCGCCAGGGACAGTCGGGCGACTGTCTGTGTGGAGTTTGCACGTTCTCCCCGTGTCTGCGTCGGTTTCCTCTGGGTGCTCCGGTTTCCTGCCCCATAGTGTCCAGGAATGCGCAGGCTGGGTGGTTTAGCCCTGGGAAATGCAGGGTTACAGGGATAGGGTAAAAGGGTAGGTCTGGATGGGATGATCTTCAGTGTGGACTCGATGGGCTGAATGGTCTGCCTCCACACTGTAGGGATTCTAATCATTTCCAATTTAAGAATAGCTTATACAGTACCATTGCAGAAACAAAACAGCTTGTTGCTGGCACAATCATACTTTTAACCTCAAGACTTTTTAATTGTCTACAAAATGTTTTGTCAAGACAACAAGATCTGTTGAATGTTTCATTCCTCAATGCTTGCACAGAATAATAAGCAAAATTTAAACAAGAAATGAATGGAAGCCATGTCTTTCAACAGAACTTTTTTTTTCTCTCTCTCATTGCACTTTGGATGTATGCAATTGGTTCAAATAAAGCTTATTCCTTTTCATTACGTAGGGTTGAAAAACATCCACCTCGACCTGAGAGCATCATTTCACAATTCCTCCTTTCTGCAAAGGCCCTTCATTGTTTGTGAATCCAAGGGCAGGAAACCGCAGTAGCCTGTCACGAAATGTAATCGTCAGTGCAGGCTCGCTGGGCTGAAGGGCCACGTCTGTACTGTGTGATCTCGGTAAGATTACATTACTGAGGATAATGTTACGCACTCACTAACTTACACAGATATCCAGTTAAGCACTGACTTGTTTTTTAAAAGTCCCATCTTTGCTTTCAAACCCCTCCATGGACTCCCTCCTTTCTATCCCTGAAAATTCTGCCAGCATCCGACATGTTTGCACTCTTCTGGTTCCGGTCACAAGCGCATTCCCAATTTTAATTGCTTCACTCCCAGCTACAGAATTCCCTTCCTAACTCTCTCTGCCTCATTCCATCTCTTTCCCTCTTTCCCCGTAGCCTACCCCAACCAAGCGTTCGACCATCTCCCTTCATGTCTCCCTATGTGGTTCAGTGTCAAATTTTATTGACCATGCTCCTGTGAACTGCCTCCGGACATTTTGACGCCACCGTAAATAAAAGTTGTTGATAAAAGCCTTTACCCGGCCTTTAAGAAAATCATCATTGCCTGGAATTGCACAGAACTGTCGTTTGCAAAGACTGCAACTGACCACTTAGTGATCCATAAACTTTCCTACAGATTGCACTGACCACAGGAATTAGCAGAGACAGGTTACTGGAGAGGAAAACGCAGGGGGAGAAAACAGTAGCTGAACTGCAGGAATGACTTCCGTTGTGCTTAAAGATAGCATTCTCCCGAAATTCAAGTCAAAGTCTGAACAGATGTATTGGCGAGTGCAGCAAAACATAATCAGTCTGAATCTAGGTCTAGCTCATCGTCAGTAGTGTCGACCGCAGGGTAAGGCTGGTCATTCCCCAAATTCACATAATTTACTTGCAAGTTGATATAGTGTTCTCCTTGTAACATGGATTGAATCTCTTGAATTTCGTAGACAATTTCAGTAAACTGCGGTCGCAGCTCAGGCTTTGGATCCCAGCAACGCAGCATAATATTGTACCTGTGCAAGGGAGAGGGTCATTGAGATAGTGCATGGCTTGTGGGTCAAGTTAGAACTCTACCCCTTTCACGTTGGTACATTGCGTTCCCAGCATATTCCCGGCAAACCTTTCCAATTCCATACACATTCATTATACCATCCAAGCTCCTGCCCATCCAGCTGACGGATGATTGATTCAGGAGGCAGGATTGTCCACACTCTTCATAGCTACATAAACAATGCAAGCAAAACTAGGTCCCTCTGCTGTCTCCCAGCAGCCCCTTACCCCCACCCGCCACCCACTCCAGTGACGAATTAAATCTTCAAAACTAAGGTTAAACCAAAAAGGCTTGTGAGTGGGGGCAGCTTAAATGCAGAAATTCAAGCAAATCAAACGCCAGATGTAAAAATCATTACGAAAGCAAAACACCACGGATGCTGGAAGTCAGAAACAGACATGAGAAACTCAGCAGGTCTGTGGAGAGAGAAACAGAACTAATGTCTCGAGTCCAGTATGACTCTTATTTTGAACTGAAGTCATGTTAGTGTCACAGGTCAGCACTTGATGTCTATCCCTAACTGCCCTTGAACTTTGTGGCTTGCTCGGCCATTCCAGAGGGTAGTTAAGAGTCAGCTATTTTGCTGTAGATCTGGTTTCACATGCAGCCATTGCCTTTTCCCTTTATCCATTCTCAGGATGAGGGCAGCATTTATTGCTCATCCCTAATTGCCCACATTGCTGTGAGTCTAGAGTTACATGTAGGCCAGACCAGGTAAGGATGGCAGTTTCCTTCCCTGAAGGGAATTAGTGAACCAGATGGGTTTTTCCTAACAATCGACAATGGATTCATGGTCATCATTAGATTCTTAATTCATTGAATTCAAACTCCACCATCTGCTGTGGCGGGATTCGAACCCAGGTCCCCAGAACGTTATCTGGTTCTCTGGATTAACAGTCCAGTGATAATACCACTAGGCCATCGCCTCCCCTGTGACCAGGGAAGGACAGCAGATTTCCTTCCCCAGCAAACCAGATGATATTTTTCTAACAACAATCGTTTGCTTTTCGTTACTAAATTTAAATGATGCCATCTGCACTGGCAGGATTTGAACCCAAAACTTCAGCTTAGGATGGGGTCCTATATTACTAGCCTAGTGATATTACCACTATGCCACTGTCTCCCATGTTATTCTAATGTAATAATCTTTGAAATGAAAGGAAGGTAGCCAAATAGAGACAAATACTCACAGCTCATCTGGACAATATTCTGGTTGAGGCAATCTTCTTCCCTTTAACAAAAATCTTGTGATATCATAAGGGTCGATTTCTGGATAGGGTGGTGCCCCTCGAGTTAGCAGCTCCCACAGCAATACTCCAAATGACCACTAAACACCACAATACCAACAGAGAGAACTGTCAAGGGATGCAGAACTTACACAGAGGCACACTGGGATCTAATGGTGAGGGTAATACAAACAGGGTTTGATCGTCTAATCTTCTGCTTCCCTTCCATCATTTCCTAGAGCTACTAAAAATATATTTAGGGGCTGAATCTTTTCTAGTCATGTGTTAGTCACCAAGTTGGTGTAAAAGTGCTATGCGAGCAGTTGTAAACCCATTCAGTCTTGTTTACTGAGGTTAATGATGCATTTGAAATGATTCATTGTGGAATTTCACACTATCACTTTCCACTGTGGTTCAGTCCTTGTGAGATCTAATTTAGTAAAACATAGGAACACATCGATGGCTGGGATTTTTCAGGGTTTTTCCTCAACTAAGGTTTGGCGGTGGGTACCATGATGTGCAGGCTATCCCCCACCACTACAAACGGGAATGTCTGTCATATCTTGCCAGGCACTGAAGTGGTCACCCAGTGGGCTTTTCAGTGCATCAGGTCCTGAGATGGCAATGTCCCATCTCACCTGAAAGCTGCCTGCTGCTCCGGAGCTAGGAGCAGTGCCTGTCAAGGTGCAACGGGCTGAATAGCCACAGTAACAATTCTGTGAAGCCACTTGTAGAGGTTGAGGTTTCTGGGTGACACTAAAGACCAGAAGCAGTGGGCAAGGCTGGTGATTTTTCGGGAAGGGTGCAGAGGAAGAAAGAAGGTTGGCAAAGGTCATAGCTAGGACAGGGTATGGCTTTCAGCAGACACACTCCTGCCTCTATCCATACCCCCAATCACCTCCAGATTGAGGCCCACAATTCAGCAGACAGACCATTCTATTCCACCAATTGGGAGTCTGCCAGTGCCCTTACCTGCCGGGAATGGAGTTAATCCTGGTGTGAAGAGGACCTTATATGGTCATTCATTGAGTGGTGGTGAGTAAGGAAGGCAAAGTTTGGGCCTCCCTACCCAGAATTTAATTTCTGTGGCGAGGGGAAGGCAGCAGGGTGATCCCCCATGTGGAACCCACCCAGTTATTTTCCACCACCTTCCCTGCCACTTCTTGGGAGGGCAAGTCTCCTCTCTATAATTTGACGAATATTTGTTCTGGATTACTTCACTGGGAAGTCTATAGATCTTCTGAAGTGCTGAATACAGGGAGTTATAGGGACAGGTAGTTTCAAACTCTCCAAGGTCAAAGTGGGCATTGCCTAGTGAAGAAAACATTGTGTTTCTAAAGACAGATAAGCAAAGTCAGTCCTGTCTCTCAATTTTCCATGCTTGTATGAAATGCAAACTCACTGCGTCTCATAGTCTGACCATCATATAATTGCAGTGTAGGTGGATGCATGATCACACGCATTGCTCACTAAATATTTAGGTCTTTACTTGGTTTTGCAAAGAACAAGGCAACAGATTTGTGGTATTCATGGAATCCTCAACATATCAGTTAAAAACCATGCAATGTTTATTTCTGAAATAGAAATCGTCCAGTCACCAAACATCAGTAATCCTGCCCCCAGAGTCGACTGGATAGTGAGCCGAGTCACAGTAGAATGTATATACCCTCGTTCTCGTCATCCCACTCCCCAAGAAATCAAGGTTGCAGTGTTCCCAGTTATAGAGGCTTGGGAGATGCTTGCCCACCCACCAATTAAACTATAGGATGGTGTGGGACACAGAAATACTTCACAGCAGAACTAGAATATACAACGCAAAGCACTGTCAGGAGGACGCCTGAGCTCCAGCCTCAAACATCCCGCTTGTTGCTGCTTCATGAGGGCAGAACATAAGGCTCACAGCACTGATCCCCACCATAAGGCCCAACTTGCATTGGCACTAAATGTAATAACACATCTCGGGGTAGCACGTTGATTGTCTTAACCATACTATTTAAGGAAATATCAAAAGGACATGTCATTCACCCATCAGTAACAGGGTGCGGGGCTTCTGCTACGAGTCTCACAGCAAGCATTCATCAGTAAAGGGAGACCCAGGGATAAGAACTTTATGTGCAATTACAGCCAGCATCCTGACAATTCAGTGAAGAAAGAAATTACAAGCCGGCCACACATAACAGAAGGGCCCAAATGGAACAGATGAAAACCTACCACATCCGATTTAGTTGTGAACTTTTGGGTCTGCAGACTCTCAAGTGCCATCCATTTCACAGGGAGCTTGGCTTTCCGATGGTCTTGAATGCTATAATACTCTTTGTCCAACACATCCCGTGCCATTCCAAAATCTGCCACCTTCACCACGTAGGTCTCATCCAGCCTGAAGCATGCAAGGTCACACACAGGTCAACAATGTGGAGAAAATCCTCAAGTACAATTTCAAGGGCATGTCCTTACAGAAATCCCATCTGTATCCCTTCGCAAAAATTAATCAACCCTGACTTTTCTTGGAACACTTATCTCGTTCAAGAGGGGTCAACAAGACAGGAAATGTATCCAACGCCTGTACTTGAGCATTTAATGCAGAAAATCCCACTATTGTTGCTTGTGACAGCTGTAGCTCAGTTGGTAGCACCCTTGCTCCTGATTCATAAGTTCTCAGTTCAAGTCCCACTCTGATAAACTTGTCATAAAGACCATGGGCATCTCTCGCAATAGAGTCAGTAGGTTACATGTACAATTTAAGGGGGAACCACTCTGCAAAGTGTGCGGCATAACAGGCCCCCATGAACTATAACAGCCAGCACAGGGATTGAACCCATGCTGGGGGTTGGGGGGGGTACATCATTCTGCACCAGACTCTAGTCTAGTTTGGGGCGGCACAATGGCTCAGTGGTTAGCACTGCTGCCTCACAGCGCCAGGAACCCAGGTTCAATTACAGCTTTCAAGAAGCACCTGGATGAATCTATGAATAGGAAGGGAATAGAGGGATACAGATCCTGTGAGTGAAGACAGTTTTAGTATGAAAAGGCAAAATGTGGCTCGGAGGGCCAAAGGGCCTGTTCCTGTCCTGTATTGTTCTTTGTTCTCATATATGTCAGTTTCTAACCAAATACCCAAACAACTGATAAAAGTAAAATACTGGGAGGACGGAAATCTGAAATAAAACAAAGAAGGCTGGAGGAACTCAGCAGATCTGGCAAGTCCATGGAGAGAGAAACAGAGTTAAATTTCAAATCCACAGAGATGTACAGCATGGAAACAGACCCTTTGGTCCAACTCATCCATGCCGACCAGATATCCTAAATTAATCTAGTCCCATTTGCCAGCATTTGGCCCATATCCCTCTAAACCCTTCCTAGTCATGTATCCATCCAGATGTCTTTTAAATGTTGTAATTGTACCAGCCTCCACCACTTCCTCTGGCAGCTCATTCCATACACACACCATCCTCTGTGTGAAAAAGTTGCCCCTTAGGTCCCTTATACATCTTTTCCCTTTCATCTTTAACCCATGCCCTCTAGTTTTGGACTCCCCCACCCCAGGGAAAAGACCTTAGCTATTTACCTCATCCATGCCCCTCATGATTTTATAAACTTCTATAATGTCACCGCTCAGGCCCCAGGGAAAATAGCCCCAGTCTATTCAGCCTCTCCCTATGGTTCAAACCCTCCAACCCTGGCAATATCCTTGTAAATCTTTTCTGAACTCTTTCAAGTTTCACAACATCCTTCCTATACCAGGGAGACTAGGATTGAACGCAGTATTCCAAAAGTGGCCTAACTAATGTCCTGTACAGCTGCAACATGATATCCCAACTCCTGTACTCAATGCACTGACCAATAAAGGCAAGCATACCAAACATCTTCTTCACTATCCTGTCTACCTGTGACTCCACTTTCAAGGAACTATGAGCCTGCACCCAAGGTCTCTTTGTTCAGCAACACTCCCCAGGACCTTACCGCTAAGTCTTGCTCTAATTTGCCTTTCCAAAATGCAGCACCTCACATTTATCTGAATTAAAGTCCATCTGCCACTCCTCGGCCCATTGGCCCATCTGATCAAGATCCCAATGTACCTTCTTCACTGTCCACTACACCACCAATTTTGGTGTCATCTTCAATCTTACTAACCATACCTCTTACATTCACATCCAAATCATTTATATAAATGTCTCTCCTTCGGAACTCAACCACCTGATGTTAACCTCGCATGCAAAATTGAAAACTGCGATATACAAAGCTCGTTTTTAAAACAGCTACTCACTATTTCCTCATTCCTCAGCCATTTGGCTCTCTATGCCTCCTAAAGCCACGGGATTTTGCAAAAGTTTTGGTTTCTCTAAGACTTCTGCTCAAGTGGCAAGTCTTCACAGGCCTCACGAGAAATCAATGTAACTTATTTAATCAGGGAAGCCATCTTTGCTGAGTCTAATATCACCCTCATCCCATATCAAAGTGCATGCATCTTTCAACTGCTATCTGTGGTTGATCTTTCTTTCTCCCTTGTGTTGATGTTGATGTTAATTGAAGGCAGCTAAACTCACATCTCCATAAAATCAGCTAACTCGCACACACCAAGAGTCTCCAATCGATATGGACTCGTTCTTGGTGGTGCCTGTACTGATTAGGCCGCTAAACAAAGCACTGTGTTGCTTTCAGTTTCAGGAAGATATATAGCACTGAACATCAAATTCTCAGCAAAATCATTCCGGCAAACTTTATCTACCAGAGGAAATGTAAAGAGGGTAGAAGAGAGAGGTCAATTAAGAGCGTGTTTGAAAATCAGTTGTAAAATACTTGGTATTTCTTCCAATAAAACAGACTTTCGACGTTATAATTTACTTGTACTTACATGCAGTTTCTTGCTGCAAGATCTCTATGAACAAATTTCATTAGTGCGAGGTATTCCATTCCCTTGGCAACCTGTAGCCCAAAGCCTATTAAATCTTTCACTGTTGGATTCTGTACAAAAAAGGAGAAAGACACAAATGATTGCAATCAGTCTCGACACTCAACTGAGTAAGTGGACACAGAGCATCTGTCTGTAATCTTCCATCAATGCCAGTCCAAACTGATTATCAATGGAATATTGCTAAAACAATAGCTATTTTCCTCAACCATTTCTGGGAATGATGCCAGCCATGGTTGGCAAAGCTCAAAGCCACATTGCCTCTTTTTTTAGGACGATATGAATGCCAATTTATCTTGGCCATTTGGAAGGGTGCTGATTGATTGGCAAGTTGACTCTGATTGACCAAGACATTGCCCTTGCAGAAGGCAGTGGGGAACCAATGACTGACTAAGCTTCCAAGAGATTAAAGAAAAGGTGCAAGGTTTGAACATATTCTTTTTGTTGGAAGGGAATGGGTCGCTGTATATGAATGTACACTAACTCCTCGTTACACGCAAAATCATTATCTGCAGACCCCTGTGTTTGGGAGGTCAGCCCCAGACTAATTCCTTTTTTCCCTAAGAGACTGGTCCCAATGGATCACAGGGTCCCTCATGGTAGATAGGGGAATTCAATGGGAGCACTATCCATATTTTTTGTGTTATCCACTGGAGATCCATGCCTCTATCCTCCACTGATAACAGGGATTTGTGTGAATGTCACTTCCAGCAAGTGTGAACGAGCCATGTTATTAGGTCAATTAATTATCTTCAACATTTTTTAAAAATTTGTTCATGGGATATGAGCATCACTGGCTCGGCCAGTGTTTATTGGTCATTCCTAATTGCCCAGGGTGCAGTTAAGAGTCTATTGGATTGGAATCACATGCAGACCAGACCAGATAAAGATGGAGTTTTTAAAACAATGGACCAACAAGTTTTATCTAATTCATGTGAATTTTTAATTCATTGATGCTCTTCGGTCAGTGAGATCTCAATGGGCCAAACAGTCCCCTTCCATACTGTAGGGATTCTATGAATTTCACTGAATTCAAATTTCATCATCCCTCATGGTGCGATTTGAATCCAAGTGCTCAGCAGATTAGCCTGAGTTCTGACTTGTTAGCCCGGTGACATTACCACTGTGTCACCTTTAGTTGCTATGAGCACATGGCAACACCTCTCTCTATTCAGCAATATTCAAGTTCTCTACAGCCAAGCAACTGGTTATCAAAGCTGTAAAGTAAAAAGAAAAGTTTGCATTTTACAAAATCAATATAAAGGAATAAGGAAAATAATTTGCACAGATGATTGGAAGTTTGTTGACACAAGAAAGTCAACAAGTTGCAATGAGCCCTGTGCTCCTAAAATCATCAGAGCCTCTGAGCCATTTTATTTAAAGTCAGCAACAGATTTGATTCTCTCTCAAATTTATCGAACATGATTTGACATCCTAATACAGTAATAGCAACGATCAGAAGCTACATTTTACATTGTATGCTACCACTCTGTGATACAGTCCTTAAAAGCAACATTTAACTGAGACCATTAGCCAGGGATACTGTGTTGAAATTGGGTCATCTGTGCATCATCAATGATGGGGTAGCGACAACAGCTCACACCCAGTTAATCATCCCACTGCAATTGATGAATTGGAAAATTAGAAGCTGGAGTGAAAGACAACACGAAATTAGGTCATTGACACCCAAAGATCTGTCTAAGATGTAAACCTTGAGGATGAGGTTGATGGTGAGGAAGATCCAGGAAGACAAAGAGCTCAGGAAAATAATATAGATTTGAGGATACGACAGATCTACTATAGAAATACTACAGAATGACTGGTCCTTCAGCTGTAGCCACAATTGTTCACAAAATTATTTCCTGTCTGGCCTTAAAATGCCATTATAAACAGATCAGAACCCTTATCACTTCCACAAGGATTCATAGATGGAAATTTGCCAAGTAAATGCAATTCTGGTTTTCATAGCCAGGAACAGGAGACAATTTTAACTTCTGTCAATTACTGAAAAAACAGCTGATATCGGACTGACCACTCCAATTTTTTTTATTCATTCATGGGATGAGGGCATCACTGGCTAGGCCGGCATTCATTGTCCATCCCTAATAGCCCAGAGGGCAGTTAAGAGTTAACCACATTGCTGTGGTCTGGAGTCATATGGGGGCCAGACCAGATAAGGATGGCAATTTCCTTCCCTAAATGACATGAGTGAACCAGATGGGTTTTTCCTGACGATTGACAAATTTTTATTGAATTCAATTCAATTCATAGAATTTTATTGAAAATGATGGGATTCAAACCCAAGTCGCCCAGGACATAGGGTGGCACAGTGGCTCAGTGGTTAGCAGTGCTGCCTCACAGTGCCAGGGACCTGGGTTCAATTCCACCCTCAGGCGCATGTGTGTGTGGAGTTTGCACATTCTCCCCATGTCTGCGAGGGTTTCCTCTGGGTGTTCTGGTTTCCTCCCATAGTCCAAAGATGTGCAGGTTAGGCAGATTGGCCATGCTAAATTGTCCATAGTGTCTAGGGATGTTTAAGTTAGGTGGGTTGGACATGGGGAAATTGCAGGGGTAGGGGGATGGGTCTGGGTGGGATGCCCTTCAGAGGGGCAGTGTGGACTTGTTGGGCTGAAGGGCCTGTTTCCACACTGTAGGGATTCTATGATTACCTGGGTCTCTGGATTAACACTCCAGCGATAATACCACTAGGCCATTGCCTCCCTTACAGATACTTGTTTTGGCCTAATGGTTTGCCTACCAATTAAAACTACTCCCAATATCCGCAATATAGGATAGCCTGTTTCCCCAGTAATTTCATACAGTTACTATTTAATTAATCATCACTTACCCGGCTTTCCTGACGGATAAAATGCCGTAGGTCTCCATGCTTCATATATGGCAATACTACCAATGGTAACCCTTCCTTAGGAAGGAAAATTCCCAGCAAAGATAGAACATTTTCATGGTGGAAATCCTTCATGATGATCCCTTCTTTCAAAAACTGCTCCACCTCTTCGACATCTGAAATTCCTGTTGAAAAACCACAGCACAATGAGGATGATTATCAACATGATGCAGACTAATTTTATCTTGTGTTTTCGTTTCTGGACAGGAGAGTTTTGGATATTGATTTTGTGCCGCACATTGGTCTTCCCTCCAAAAGGAGGCGCACTGAAACGTGTCCCGTAGCCTGGAAATTCTTGGGACCCTGTTCCTGGAGGTATCATGGAACTATAGCACCATTACAGCACAGAAGTAGGCCGTTTTGTCCATCAAATCCATGCTGGCATCCTGTAGACTAACCCAGTTAGTCCCATTCACCACTCTAACCATTTAAACTTATAATTTGTGGGAACAACTAATCACTTTTCTTCTTAATCTAATCTTGCCATAACTCTGTTCATCTCTATCAATTCTCCTCTTGATTCTTTTTGCTGCGAGGAAAATAGCTCTAGCATTTTCAACCAATTCTCACACTTAAAATGTCTCACCCCTGGACCCACTCTGATGAATATAGTTTGCACCCTCTCAAGGGCTTACAGATAGAGAACAGAATCCCTATAGTGTGCAAGCAGGCCATTCAGTTCACACTGACCCTCTGACAAGCATCCTTCCTTTACCCAGATCCCTAACCTATAACCCTACATTTCCATGGCTAACTCACCTAGCTTGCACATGTCTGGGGATGATGGGTGATTTAGCATGGCCAATCCACAAACCTACACATCTTTGGACTGAGGGAGGAAACCAGAGCACCAAAGGGAACACACACAGACATGGGGAGAATGTGCAAACTCCACACACACAGTTGTATGAGACGAGAATTGAACCCAGGTTTCTCAGGCTGAGAGGTAGCAGTGCTAACCACTGAGCCACCGTGCCATCCAATTCACCATAGCTCCTCCTCTTTTGTACTCAATATCTCTACTTCTGAAGTCAAAAATCACATGACACTAGGTTATAGTCCAAAAGGTTTATTTAAAATCACAAGCTTTCAGAGCGCAGCTTCTTTATCAGGTGCAGTGAGAGGAAAGCAACTGATGTCATGTGATTTTTGACTTTGTCTACCCCAGTCCAACACTGGCATCTCCACATCATATCTACTTCCAAAGTGAGTGCAATAACACAATGTTCTAAGCTGAGGGTAGAGACAGTATCCAGGCCTGGAGGAGTCATTTGTATAGCCAGAGGGGGCTGTCAGTACTTGCAAGGGTGATACTGGCGACAGCTAATTAACCTTTCTTCAGGTGGAATAACTGAAACAAAAAATTTACTTTTAAAAATCTCAAAACTCCCACTGGACAGACACTGGTTAGAGAATTCCTTCTGTTTCAGTTGTCTTATTGAGTAATGCTTTGGGGCATTCAAAAGGATAAATGATTGTCATGGTGAAAAAGGATCATATACATTTTCCAGTTGCTCAAAAACTCTCCTCAATGTATCTCCTGGATATCGAGTAAGATTGGGAGTTCTCCACCCACAATATCTCTTTCACTGAGAGCAGTTTAAAGGTATCAAACAAACAGAATCCCAGGCAAGTCAGGCTCTAGGCCACTTCTCAGATGCCCTCTCTAGAAATGGGATGTATACTTTCACCAATCCCAGGATGTTGGAGGCCAATGGGTCTGATTTTAACCCTGAGTGAGTGTATGAGTTTTCAGTGAATTGGAATCTTCACGCATTGTCTCACCATGTTCATTGAGTTGCCTAATCTCAGTCAGTCTATTGAAGAAAGGGGGGAATTGGGATGAGACACAAAGTCTACATTTATACACAGTCTAGTGGCTTTATCACAACAGAGGCCTGCTGGTAGGTCCCAAATGTACCTCCTTGCTTCAGAAATGGAATAGAACTGTCAGATGATGTGACAATGAGTACAGCAAGAAAAAGAAATTAAAATGGGAGGGATGTAGAAGAGCTTAACACTGATTCTAATTATACTGAAGGTGTATTGTTGGATAGGAATTATTATTCTAATAAAACTCAAAGTATGCAGGATAGTATAGAGCAAGGCAAGGCCAGTCTCAAGAAGGGAAAAACAGAACACTTTTACTTTAGATTTGAAATATGTAAGAGTACAATTCAATAGATACCAGATTAATTGCCCATCTAGGATGCGGTGTGAGTAGATGGAAACTGATGTTGAGAACTGATATAAAAGAAGTCAATTCAACAGGAAAACCAACATTTATACTGCTTGAGAGGAAAATATTGATCAGTTGGCAAGTGGACTCTGATTGCTAACTTTGTTACCATGGAAAATGCACCCATTAACACTGATTGACAGTTAACTACCAGGTTTTGTTTGATTTGAACTGATGTAGAGGAAGATCAAGCACTTTGATATTTGAACAACTGGAAAAGTCAAAAGATGGATATGGAAAGGCACAGAGGACGAAAAAAGATTGACAAAAAAATCTAAAACTGTTATTAAGGGGTAAAGAAAGAAATCACAGAAAAATAACAGCATGTCTGTTGTATTCTAATACGTACTATTCAGAGACTTCACAGCACAGTGAATTTCTTTCTTGTTGTGGTCTTTGTACAGACCATGGTAAACACTACCAAAATGTCCTGTAAAGAGAAACTTCATTATTTTAACATTCTTTTACGCACTGAAAACTTCACTACAAATCATGCAATTTAGTTTTCCATCTAGAGTGTTCAACAATGCAATTTTTGACTATTGCTAGAAAACACATTTTTTTAAATCAAAGCTTTTCGTCTTATTAAGACATTTCACAAAAATAACAATTCAAGAAGAAGACAAACATTTATGTTGCATATGATGACAGTATCCAGTGGTTTGCAAGTGGACTATAGTGCAGATGTTGCCATTCACCCATTAATGCTGATTGACAGTTAACTGCCAGCCTATGTTTAAACTTTAAGTGAGGTAGTTTGACATATTTTTCAAGGCATTGCCTTCAGAAATGAACCAGTCAGTGGTTGTTTACTTTTTTATTCATTTTCTTTCTTTTTTCTTTTCTTTTTATATCCATAAGTGCTCTTACACACAGTTGAATGATTTTTTACACCAAATCCTTGTGGTATTTTCCTTCCTCTATTAAACACCACCAGTAAATCATCTGTATTCTCCAATTGGTTAATTTATGTGCAAAGCCCATTAAGGGCAATGCAGACCATGAAAAGAGGGGGCAGTTAATGGTTGTCACCTATTGCGTTAAATTAAAACAAGTGTAGTGCATGTACTTGTTTTTCTGTATTTATGCAAAATGTCCAGATGGGTAAAAGATGGAAAGCTTTGAAAAAAATGTATTTTTTCAGCAAAATTCAAAGCAAAGTTCAATGTAACTTTTTCACAACTTTGTGACCAGGTAGGGAGTGGCCAAACATAAACTTCTTGCTTTGTACAAAATAAATGGCAATGAAAACTTCGAGGGCCGCTGATTGCCTAATAACACACTCATGAACCTAAGAGTAAAATCAAGGTTCAGGGATTCCAGGCTGCACTTGAGGACCGCTGGCATTTGATCAACCAACACTTGGTGCCTGGATCTTTCCAAGATCGGGGGCCAAGAAGGGTTGTAGTTCTGCGCAGTACTGGCAGTAGCCACTGCCTTCCCAGTGGCACTGCTGAATACAGAAGAATTGACCAGTTGCATTCAGAAGGCGTGACCTCTTATGCCAGGGTCTTTGACCCTGAGGGAAAGACCTACCATTGGCTTCTTAAAGTACCTATGGAACAAGACTTTCTCTAAAGGAGGCAACACAGACTCCCCAGACAGCAAGCGAGACCCCACACCATTTCCACAAGATTCTATCATGGAAATCAGTCGTTCAACTTGTTTTTTTTTTCCCTTATTAATGACTGGTGTAACTGAGAACAGTCTGGGCTCTTGAAGCTGGAGGGCCAGAAGCCATCGAGATTGAAACCTGCAGCAGGCTACAAATAAAGGTAACTGAGAGACAGTGCATTTGTGTTCAAAATGGCACCCTGTCTCCAATTCTGTCAAACATTATCGTCAAAGGTTTAGGGAGGGAAGGGAGGCCCTTTGCAGAATGGCAATACGACCATAAGATATAGAAGCAGAATTAGGCCATTCGGCCCATCATATCTGCTCTATCATTCAATCATGGTTGGTAAGTTTCTTAACCCCATTCTCCTGCCTTCTCCCCGTAACCCTTGATCCCTTTACTAATCAAGAACCTATCCATCTCTGTCTTAAATACACTCAGTGACTTGGCCTCCACAGCCCTCTGTGGCAATGTGTTCCACAGATTCAACACCCTCTGGCTGAAGAAATTCCTCCTCATCTCAGGTCTAAAGGGTCTGGCCCTTCACTCTGACAATGTGCCCCCATTTTCCTGCACTTGGCCAATCACTTTGTATGCACTGGCATTGCAAGTGCGCATTTAAATACGTCCTAAATATTTGGGTTTCTGCCTCTACCACCCTTACAGGCAGTGAGTTCCCGATTTCCACTGTCGTCTGCGAGAAAAAAAAATCTTCCTCAAATCTCCTCTAAACTTCCTGCCCCTCATCTTCAATCTATGCCCCAGTCATTGATCCCTCCATCAAGGGGAAAAAGTTTCTTCCTGTCCATCCTATCTATCATAACAATTAATTATTAACTGGTGACTGAACTCCCGCACCCCTGGCAGTGGATTTGGGACCATGGAACAGTCCCTAGTTCTGTTTGCCACATGTGCCCCCTCTAGAGATAAAAACCAGCACCAAGACAGACAGAGTTGGAAACTGGGAAAGAGAGAAAAGAAAGGAGATGGGCAGACTGTATACACATATTAAAAGTGACCCGTACTAGCTTCCATGAGAACCTCGACAGCCATTGGGAATTTGAGGAGACAATGCTTCAGTCCTATTTAATGTTGGGAAGTACAGTCTCAAAAACCAGTTGCAGGAATGTTAATGAATCAACAATTGAGCACATACCAACCTTTTCCAATCACCTGGTCCATGTAAGCAGTTAAACATTCGCTAGGGATCAGAATATCTTTTACTTCTTCCAGTAGCTCTGACCTCAGGTTCTGTGGTTGAATTTCTTTAGGACTTAGCAACGGGATTGCTGCACAGTCAGTGCTGCCTTTATAGCCTCGAAATATGATTCCACTTGACCCAGACGTTGTGTTGGGACTGAGACCTAACCAATAAATAAACAACTTTCCTTAAAGAGGCCACATTCTCTCATCTTTAACATTTCCTAAAGATGATCAAATGAATAAATATTAGGACATGCTCTGGAATTCTCTGTGGCCCTGCCAGATACATCATGTCTTTCTGTACCGGTGATTATTGCAGAATGGAAAGTTCCGGATAGTTCCATTCCGCATTTGTACATTTCCACGTGGAAGAGAAAATAAAAGAAATATTTGCATTTACATATAGCCTTTCCACAATTTCATGAGGTCCCAAAGCATTTTCTGACAATTAAGTCCTTCTGTGATGCAGGAAGTGTAGCAGCCAATCTGCATACAGTAAGCTCCCATAAAAGGCGACAAACATATAATCTAATGATTTTTTGGGTGATTTGGCTGAGGAATAAATATTGACCATGGCATGAGGAGAACAAGGTTTCTCTTCACTGAGGTAGCACCATGTTAAGATAAAAGGAACACATCATAAACAATTGGAAGCAAGTATTCAATGGAATGCAAACATTCCTCTTATGGACTGGCTTCAGTTACCACTAAAAGAAAACACAGTCTCTGGGTGTTTTCCATAGGGGCCTATGCAGGAGTGGAAAAAGCACACTACATAATAAAGTCTTCATTTTCAACAGCTACATCAATTACAATCAGTCAGAAATATCACTCAAGCTAAGGAAGCAGCCAGATACATATGTCCTTCAAGTGTCATGAGCAAGTACAGAAAATAAACACAAAGCTTAGGTGGGGATGCTGGCAGTGAGACCAAAACGATGGGATGAAAGGTGGTAGAAGTTATGCTTCAGCTGTACAAAACCTTAGTTTATATCTTAATTGGAATACTGCGAACTGTGTGGACACCACATCTTAAGAAGGATATAACCGGCTGCAAAGGGAGTGTAGCATAGGTTGAGAATGATGCGTGTACATATTGGGTTTAATGGTGAGGAGGGATTACACAAATTAGGAGTGTGAAGATAAAGTTACTGATGAGAAACAGATTTTGTGGAATCAGAATCTGAATTCACACTGGACTCACGAGAATCTCTGTAGTCACTGGGAGCAGGTGGGACTGCATTGAGAGATATCATATTCACCGATGCCTCCAAACGGTTCAGTAGGTCCGCATGCTCTGGAAAATAATGCAGCATTTTTGTCAGCTGGCTTAAAACTCCCCACAAAGTCTTTATTTGAGCCAAACACAACACATTATAATTAGATAATATAAGTAGAATAGATATGTGTGTATTGAGAGGTGGTTCATTTTCAGTAAATGGAAATCTCACATCACCATCCGTGGGATATTCTTGAATGTCAGCAATTAAATGATCCTTCTGCCTTAATTCACAGGATGCAATCTTTGCTGGCTGAGGCATTTGTTGCCCATCCCTAATTGCCCTTGAGAAGGTGATGGCATGCCACATTTTTGAACCACTGCAGTCCATGTAGAGACTTTGAGGATGTTGGCCCAATGACTGTGAATGAGTGACAGTGTAGTTCCAAGTCAGAAGGTTGAGTGGATCAGAGGGAAACTTGCAGGCTGTGATGTCTCCAAGTGCCCACTGCCCTTGTCCTTCTAGATGGTAGAGGTCATGGGATTGAAAGGTGCTGCTAAGGGAGCTTCAGAGTTATTGCAATGCAATTGCAGTCATTAGTGAATGTTTAAAGTTGTAGACTGGGCATTAATCAAGTAGAATCTCGACAGTGCAGAACAAGGCCATTCATACCATTGAGTGTGCACTGACCCTCCGAACAGCATCCCACCAGACCCATCCCTACCATAACCCCATACGGGGCTTTTAACCATGGCTAACCCACCTAACCTGTACGTCATTCAGCACTACAGAACATTTTTTTTTTGTTTAAGCATGGCCAATCCACCTAACCTACACATCTTTGGACTGTGGGAGGAAAATGGAACACCTGGTGAAAACCATACAGACACAGGGAAAACGTGTAAACTCCACACAGACAGGCACCCGAGGATGGAATCAAACCTGGGTCTATGGCGCTGTGAGGCAGCAGTGCTAACCACTGTGCCACAGTACCACCCTGAGCTGCTTTGTTCTAATATCATTGATTTTCTTGAGTGCTGTTGGAGCTGCACCCATCCAGGTGAGTGGAGAGTATTCCATCACACTCCTCACCCATGCCGCATAGCTGATGTTGTTGTGTACAAGGAGATTGTGATGATAACCTGCCTCCCAATAAATTCAGCATCCATAATCAGCCAGGAGGATTGATGGTGTGGGCAAAACATGGTTTCTGAGTCTGGTACCAGAGTAAAAGAATTGGATTTAACAGTGTTAACCACGCTATGTGCCTAAATAAGCAGATGCATGATATTAGCTGCAGGAAGAAAATTGAGAAGACAAAGGATCATAGGGAGAAAATATAAAGAACTTTCATTTACAGAGCAACTTTCACATTGACAAGGAGTGTGTTTTGTCTCCAGCAGGGTATCTTTAACTGATGTGGCAATGCTCATGTTTTGCCATGTAACAGAAGAAACTGGGATATGGGTAACGTGGTATTGAAAGATCCAACAGCTCACTGATGTACAACTATTATCTTCACAGGTACATCCATGTCAGGGTTAACATTAAGCTGCTCGGTTACAAAGAGTAACATGCTTCCAATGGTGTGTCATGATTCAAGTGGCCTGAGCTAAGATGGATCTTTATACCTGCAGGTCTGATGATATCGCAAACATAGCTCTTAAAGGTGTACTGATAGTAAGACATTGCACAATATCCCCTTTTTAACCAAAGACAGAGAATTATCTCAAAAAAAACATGGCTGTACATCACATGTTGTCAATTCGATAATTATACAAACATGTTAAAAAAATTTAGAAGATTAACAATTTAAATTCTGAAGTAAAGTTTGCTTTGGAGGTCTGACAGTTCATCCTGATCTGGTGATCAATATGGGTCCGGAAATATATGCGTAGTTCTCTGTTGCACTTGGCTATCTTGTCACTCAACAGCAACACACAAGCATCAACAGAGTTTTCATTCCTAATCTCTCTATGCATGACTGGTATTCTGTGTATTGGTCTGAACTGGTTTTGCTTCCTACTCATTACAGCACCATGATCAGTAATGACTTTGCATGGATCTAGGTTTATCGCATATTTTAGAAACTTTTGCTCGTATTTGAGTCTTTGGATGTGATTTGGGGGAGATTCCGATGTAGTTGTAATGTGAGGAACCAGTAATCAAAAACTCCAGGCTAATGTTATGGCGATAAAACAAAGAATTGCGGATGCTGAAGATCTGAAACAATAATAGAAATTGCTGGAAAAACTCAGCAGGTCTGGCAGCATCTGTGAACAGAAAGTAGAGTCAATATTTCGAGTCCAGTGACCCTTCTTCAGACTGTTGTGGGCACATGGGTTAAGTCACACCATAACAGTTGGTGAAATTTGAATTAGGTGATTGGAACTGGTGATCCATTATACACTGTAGGTTGTAAAATGGCGTGCCACTTTGATTTGATTTGATTTATTATTGTCACATGAACCTAGGTACAGTGCAAAGTTTTATTTTGCGCACAGTACAGGCAGATCATGCCATACAAAGTGCATTAGGGCAATACAGTGTGGAATACAATGTTATGGCTGCACAGAAGGTGCACAAAGAGTGAGGTCAACATTAAAATTTAAAATCTGAGGTCAATTCAGAAGTCTGCTAACAGCAGGGAAGAAGCTGTTCTTGAATCTGTTGGTATGTGTGTTTAAGCTTTCGTATCTTCAGCCTAACAGAAGACTTTGGAAGAGATTATAACCGGGGTGCGAGGGGTCTTTGATGATGTTGGCTGCCTTCCTGAAGTAGCCAGAAGTATAGATGGAGTCTTTCGGTAGAAGGTTGGCTTGTGTGACGGACTGAGCTATGTTCACAACTCTCTGAGATAACAAGGTGTAGAGCTGGATGAACACAGCAGGCCAAGCAGCATCAAAGGAGCAGGAAGGCTAATGTTTCGGGCCTAGTTACGGTCCTGGGCAGAGCAGTTGCCATAGCATCCAGATCGAATGCTTTCTATGGTGCATCTATAAAAATTGGTCTTTAAAGAGTCTTTATGGACATGCCAAATTTCCTTAGCTTCCTGAGGAAGTAGAGGAGTTGTTGTGCTTTCTTGACTATAGCATCAACATGGGTGGATCAGGACAGATTGTTGATGAGCTGAGGTAGATGTCTTTCAGGATACACAATGGTAATATATTGGCATCAGCTCCTATGTTGATGTTAGCTATTTTCAGGAGTTATGATATTAACAGTTCCACCCTCGGGTGACTGTCTGTGTGGAGTTTGCACATTCTCCCCGGGTTTCCTCCGGGTGCTCCGGTTTCCTCTCACAGTTCAAAGACGTGCAGGCTAGGTGGTTTGGCCATGCTAAATTGCCCGTAGTGTACATTAGGTGGGTTGTAGGGATGGGTCTGGGTGGGATGCTCTGAGTGTCAGTGTGGACTTGTTGGGCCGAAGGGCCTGTTTCCACACTGTAGGCATTCTATGACATTCTATGAGAAAACCTTCTGATTGCCACATGCAGTTGACATGGTGCACGAGTTAACAATATGGAAATCTTGATCATCTTATGAAATTTGCCTTTTACTTGGTTGGCTCTGCGCCTCACTGATGTGTTTGCATTTGTACACTTTCTTAGCATTTTCCTTGCTGCCAGATTGTGGTGTCATGTTGTCTTCTTGGTTACTTGTGTTTCGTTCTGGCATTTGACGTGGCCTTTCAGAAACAGATTTCCAGCACTTCTGTACGCAAACTTCCTTGGTGTCACATGTTTACAGATGTTGAGAAAAGCCAGACAGCATTTTGGTAGGTACAGCAAACTACATCTGTTACAGATTTTGCTGGTTTCGCTCTTCATTGCAATAGTGTTTGCTGCATTTAAAGCACATCATTGTTGTTGATCTGCCATTATCATTTCATACTTGTGTCCATGCCCAAGCAATGAGTCAATGGTCTGGCCCCTTTTCTTTTCCAGGAGGTCTTTCCTGAAAACTTTATTTAGTGTACAGCCGATGACTAACTCAATGACGGTTCCACTTTGGCAAAATCACACTCATGTTCTCTGCTGCGGCATCCTCTGACAAACTGGTCAATAGACTATTGCAGTTGTTGTCTGTAAGACATGGGTTGGAGTCTGTTAATCTTGAAATTAACTCTTAACAAGTCTTTGAGTATGTTCTGCATCTTTCTGATCATCCATGGATAGACCAGATGAGTTGATTCTGCAATTTTGATGCCAATGGCAAGCAGGATTTTCATAGCTCTTTTCCTGGGATCATCTATTGCTTATCTGTAGGATGAACTACATTCATTGCTTAAATTGTATTATGGTAAAGGGATCATTGGATGCTCAGTTCATGATTAACTTGTATGCCTCTGTTTGGAGGCTTTTGTGTGTTTTTTTTTTAAGGAGAGTGCAGTGTTTGATCAATTTTTTTCTTCTTTTCTTCTTTCTGCTTGTTTTCTTTTGTGTTTCTTGCTGCTACTCTTTTACTCACCTAGGTCCCTTTAAGGGTGCTGTTTTAAAGGATAGTCATGTGGATCAAAATTGCAGGCTTTTACTTGCAGGTTTCAGCTAAATAGATAGTGTCTGCACCAAATAAGGAGGGATAACATCATGAGGATTTCCCTCCCCCTCTCACGCCCATTCGAAGAAAAAAAATGTGGAGAAATGAACCAAACTCTGGACACAGGTAAACCTTCCTAGTTTTTAAGTATCTTTTAGCTGTACTTTCTTTCAGAAGAATTTGTAATTATGCTTTCAGGACCAGGCAGTTGCTGCTTCTTAATTTTTCTTAAAATCAGAACATCGGGCTGGAAGTTCATTTCATTTTGAAGGAGAGAGGCAGAGAAATTACAATATTCATTGACTCAGCTCCTGTTTGCAACACTCAGCCTTTTGTTTTCAATTTAAGGGATTCATATAAATTTTTTAATACTTAGAAAGAACGTAGATTTTAATCAAAAAGCCTTGGGCCTGCTCTGCCATTCAAATAGAATCACTGTTTATCCGAAATTCCTCAGGACCATTTTCCTGCCCTTCCGTACGATGCTATAAAGTAAGGTTGGCTCTTTTCCATTGCGGATTTTATTTTATTCTGTCACCATTCGCTGCCACACTCCCCCCCACCATCCCACAAAACCCTTATCACTCCCTCCCTACTAAACTTTTGGTTTCTTCTTCATATTGGCTTGGATGATGAGAGTGGCTGGTAACCTTGCTAACTCTGGTAACCCTGGTAACCTTGGTAACCCTGGTAACTCTGGTAACCCTGGTAACCCTGCTGGAATGATTCTTTCAAAGACGGGAAAGGAGGAAAGCAAAAAGCAAAGTTACCTTTATTTTTCTTCCTGTATATCAATAGGATGGCCACCAAAATCATTACCACCAAAAAGATCACAATAATGCCAATGATAATTCCCACAATTGTTCCAAGGCTTTCTTCGACGTAGATGACGTGCCCAATGAACTTCTCCACATTATTCACCCAGAGCTAAGGGGACAAACGAGAAAAGAACAATTAAATCACTAAAAAGCCTCGACAGAGAATTTTATTAAGGGCAAGATTTTCTGCCCATTAGTCAGGGAGGGATGGGGGTGTAGTGGTAAGCTCACTGGACTAATAATCCAGAGCCCCAGACTAATGTTCTGAGGACTTGGGGTCAAAGGCACTGGTAAAATTTGAACCCATAAAATGAAAAAAGCAGATCTCCATTTGCTTCTTTTGCCAATTGGCTTAGAACTGTGACTTCCGGTTCTCGATCCTAAAGTGTAGCACCTAGGGACATGGACAGAAATCACAGGTCCTGGTGCTGATGCTTGCCCAAGCCCCTGATCTGAGCATAATGAAGTCCCTAGAGCCACAGGCCCTGGTTATTGGGCCCAATGTACATCTCCTCTCCAGTGTCCCGGGTCCTGGCAACAGCCAATAGTAAGCATAGAGAAATGACAAACAAGGCGCGTCACAGTATGTCAGGGTAAGATGATACAATGCATTGAGGCACGAGAGATAAAATTCCTCTGTGGCCTTGTATGAATCGAAATTACAAAAGGGGTCTATGAAGCAGATGCTGCATATCTCACAATGAAAGAGCAGAAAATATAGCAAGAACACGTAGAGAGATAAATAGTTCAACTTGTCAACCTTGACTAGAAGCCCTTCGGGGGGGATCAATTCAGTTTCAACAGTGCAGGTGATCTCTTGCACCAGGATCTTTGGATCACAAATCGTGTCCCCTACCAAAAGGGTCACATTCAGGCAGTTCTTCAGATCAAACAACTTTGCATGCTGTCTCCACAGAAACAAAATGAAAATCGTGTTAAAAAGAAGTTGCCAAATAAACAGTTCACCTTTCAATACTTCCAGCAAAGAGACATTTCATGCAAAAAAGAGTCATACATTTTTCTCCCCCACTTTCAGCCTCGTGTTTGAAAACCTATCTAACAGTTAGTGGTCTGTGATTTACCTAATGCCCAACATGTCCCCTCTGTCAATTGTCAACCTAATCACCCTTTACAGAATGGTTTCTTTAGAAAAATGAAGGTGGATCTGATGGAGGTGTTTAATATAGAGTCACGCATGCTGTGCAGTGGAAGGCCAATCAGCCCATCAATCCAGACTAGCTCTCTGTGGAGCAATTCAACTAGTTTCATTGCCCCCACTCTATCCTTATATTTTCTTTCCCTCAAATGTCCGTCCAAGTTCCTTTAGAAATGAACTTTTAAAAAGGATTGGATGGGGGAGAGGAAGAAAGAAACTATTTCCTCTGGACCGGGAGTCCAAAACAAAGGGGAGGAGCACACATATTTTACATTAGAGCTGGGTCATTCAGGATGAAACTGTTGCTGAATGGCTGTGTTTATTTGAATCATAGTATGAACGGGATCACAGCCAGCAACTGTCACGTTAGCAGCCTGTGTTAAAACAAACAAGTTGACTCCATTGTAGAACATCTCATTCCTATCAGCGGCACCCACAGAATCATTCAGCAAAAAGTTGCAACCTTATGGTTCTGAGCCTATTTCAATCACATGAATCGACTTTTAAAAAAACTGGGCATCTTTTTCTCAGTGCAACTTTTTCTCCTCAGCTGGAGTGGCACAATGCTGCATTCACTGTGTGAATTTCAACCTCCTGAATACCAGCAGGATGCCAGCCACCAATCACTACCCACTGACACTGCAGTACCAGGCATGGGTTCCAATGGTTGGGATCTGTCTCATCTATGCAGCTAAACCAATGTCAATGCTGAGCTGTCTCCCAGACTTTGCATGACCAGCAAACTGGATAACCCCACATTTGGTTTATACACCAGTACCTTTCTGTATAGCATCACTCAGAGACAGTAAGAACTGCCTGTGCTGGAGTCAGAGATAACACAGTATGGAGCTGGAGGAACACAGCAGGCCAGGCAGCATCAGAGAAGCAGGAAAGTTGATGTTTCAGGTCGGGACCTTTTTCATGTTGTGATTCAAATAAACACAGCCATTCAGCAACAGTTTCATTCTGAATGACCCAGCTGTAATGTAAAATATGTGTGCTCCTCCCCTTTGTTTTGGACTTCACACTGTGTTATCTCTTTCTATATAACATGTTACTTTTTCAATGTATTTCCTGTGCACATATTGATATGCATCTAAGAAAGCATCCCAAGAACACAGATTTTCTATCTAATTAATGGAATTCTACATACAAATAATTTTCCCATTTCATTGTGGAAGATGAAGAGCCAAAAAAAAACTCACTTTGAACTCAATTTCATCTTCATCCTTGGTTAGCTTGTATATATGCCCCTCATCATCAAATGGAAAAACCTCATAGTCTTCCTTGTACTCCAGTTCAAATGACTTTAGGTTCTGCACACCATCCATAATCACAGTGAGCTTCCCTTCCACTTCCTCATCCTCAATTGAAGGGGTTTCACAGGTCATAGTCTCAGAAGACAGTGGTGGCGGATTGCATAACTGCAGTCAGGAAGATGGGATATTTAGGATTGTGCAAACTCTAACACATTCAGCTGATTCACAAAGGAGGCTGGAAGAGACCAAGATGATAGCTGGGAAATTTGGGACTACAGAAGTAATGGCAGAAAGATTTTTTTTTCCTCATTCAAAGCTTTATGGCAGAGAGACAGAATTAGACAGGCAGAGAAACAAAGAAATAATAATGTGGAAAGGAAAGAAATAATAACAGTCCATGTACACCCACATCCACCTCATTCCCCTCATCGAGCAAGTTAGTTAAACATGATTGGCTTGTGACATGATTTCCCTTAATAAATCAATAGTTGTCAAAGTAACTTAATTTTCTCCCAAGTTATTGTTTTTAAAGGCTTTCCCACCATTAATTGTGGGGTCAGTTGGCTGGAGGCTGGTTTGCAATGCAAAGTGATGCCAATATTTATGGAATTCACTGCCACAGAAGGCTGTGGAGACCAGGTCATTGAGTACATTTAAGACTGAGATAGATAGATTCTTGATTATCAAGGGGATCAAGGGTTACGGGGAGAAAGCCGGAGAATGAGGTTGAGGACCGTATCAGCCATGATTGAATGGCGGAGCAGACTTGATGGGCCGAATAGCCTTATTTCTGCTCCATTGTCTCATGGTCTTATGGTCTAACAGTGATGGATTCACTTCCCACAACAGCTGAGGTTACCATGAAGGACTCCCCTTCTCAATCTCTCCCCTCATCCGAGGCATGGTGACCCTCAGGTTAAACCACCACCAGTTGTCTCTCTCACTCTCTAATGAATCTGGTAAGATAATGGTGACTTTACCTTTCCCCACCACCAAGGTTAAACCAACAGGCTTATCTTTGCTGGGTTCTAATGGTGGTGCTATGTACTGTGGCATCATTCACATTGTCGTCTAGAGCTGTGGAAGCCGACGGCAGAGACACCAATTTTCTTTCCCTCAGGTGGCAGACCAGAAATGGCTTCTTGTTCTTACCATCTGCCACTGCTGTGAGTTGGAAGGATTTGCAGTTTGATATACAATCGAATTGGCTATAACATGAATGCACTTTCCTTGGGCACCAAGATTTGGATAGGGACTTCAACCCAAAGCTCCTGGTTCAGAGGCAGGGACACGGCCCACAGCACCAGGAGCCATCCAGCAAAATCACTTACCTCCTCTTTGCTAACTTTTTTTTAAAATGAATATTTAGCTGATCCGGTTTTGTGGGGAAGAAAGATGAAACATTTTTCATCTAAAAACCTACCTTTACAAACGTGTCATTTTTGTCATCGGTAAATACTAGTTTCGGTTGATAGACAGAGTTCAGATTGGTACCACTGATGGTGATGTTGAGGCCACTGTAGGAACAATGGAATAATAAATACATGAAAGAGACAGAGTCAAACTTACAGACAGAGAGACACAGGCAGCACACCCTGCAGACATTCAACATCGGCAGGAGGCTGAGTAATTTCTTTTCTTCCCAGAGATGTTGGTCCTGACCATGAAGAGAAGATCATCACTGGGCGCAGTGGGAAATTCTTCACCCTTGAGAAACACTTCAATAAAGGCCCAAACGTAAACAATTCCAGCCTGTGTGTGTGAGTACTCTGTGGGTGTGCTTCTACCATGATCTGAAAAAATAGCTTTAGATTTCTTCACGTCACCTCCTTACAGGAGCCAAGGAAGTGCGTGAGAAAGAGGCTATAATTTACAGTGTTGCCATTTCTCCAATGGATCTGCTGTGAATGATTATTTTGTTTTGAAATCTAGAGTTTAGGAACAGGAGGAGAGCAGGTAGTCCCATGAACCTGTTCTGACATTCAATAGATCATGGCTAATCTTGTGATTTAACTCCATCAAAATTATGCTTGTCTTGTACTCCTTAATACATTTGGCTGATGGAATGTACTAATCTCAGTTTTAAAATTAACAAATTAAGAAGTCTGGTGCCAATTTTAAACTGCATCTCATAGTCCTAGGCCATCCAGCCAGTGAGAAATAATCTATTTCTATCTAACCTATCAGTCGGATTGTCAGTTTTATCAGAGTGTAAGAGCTTTGGTGTTTCTTTTAGAAATCCATTTCAAAGTTTTCCGTTGCTATTGCGTAGTTTCTGAGTTGTGGACCTAATGGATACGGGGAGAGTGGTTTTGGAGGATACCTGGTTGGTGGTGGGGGGGGCGGAGGGGTTGGGGAGGGGGCACGGCTCAGGAGAACATCGGAAATAAGAGCAAAAGTCAACCATTTGGCCTTAGAGCCTGCTTCCATAGTCAATAGGATCATGGCTGATCTTAAAGCAGCTTGACCTCTACTTCCTTGCCTCTCCCTCATGTCTCCAATCAAATCAAAAATCTGTCTTACTGAGCCTTGAGTAAATTGAATGATCCAGGGTGATGTGGTGGCCCAGTGATTAGCACTGCTGCCTCACAATGCCAAAGACCTGGGTTCAATTCCACCCTCATCTGACTGTCTGTGTGGAGTTTGCACATTCTCCAAGTGTCTGTGTGGAGTTTGCTCCGGTTTCCTCCCACAGTCCAAAGCTGTGCAGGTTAGGTAGATTGGCCGTGCTAAATTGCCCAGGGATGTGTGTGCTAGGTGAATTAGCTGTGGGGATACGGGAGTGGGTCTGGGTGGAATGCTCTTCATAAGGTTGATGTGGACTTGATGGGCTGAATGGCCTACTCCCACACTGTTGGAACCCTATGATTGCAGGGTCTATTCCCTGGGGAAGAGAATCTCAGACACTAACAACGTTCAGGGGTAACTTAGGCACAGTGGAGGTGGGAGCTCTCAAAGAGCATGGGATTTGGATAAAGGGGGTTGAAGGGGACGACAGAGGGTTAAGGATCACCAGAGTGATGTGGAGAGCTGGGTTAACCTTCTAACCAAACCCCCTCAGCACCATGCTGCCACTCTCCAAAGGGAGGCAGCAGATCCAAAGCTTGCACATCCACATCCGTGGGAGACTGAAATATGGTGGGAAGGGGAGGAAGTATTCTGACCCTCTTATCATCTCAATACATATAGTTAAAAGCATACAGCACCAAGTCAAGTAGGTACAGGTAAAATAGAGACCAGTCACGATCTAACTGAATGGCAAAACAAGGGCTGAATCACCTCCTGTCCCTAAGTTCCGCCCAGGAAATGTCTCATGCACAAACTGCAACAGTGACAGCACGTGGCACAGAGAGAGAAAAGGAGAATGAGACAGATAGAGAAATTTCACTGCCAGACTTAGCCACTTGCAAAAGACTTGGCTATGGCTTACCTCTGGGTGCTGCAGCTTGGGGAGATGCTGTTAAGGACAGGGTTCTTTCGGTACTGGAACTTGAAGTTGCCTTCAGCTGTTACCTTTGCAGAGTCTATCATCACAACAGGAGGCTCTTCCTTCAACAAATCCATTTTTGGAGTTATGCATTCTATACAAGTACTATTCTTGCTGGCAAATAAAGGTGCAAGAAGAAAATTAGGATTAGAAATGTCGGACATTTTCCAAAGTTGAAACAAGATGTACTTGTCTCAGCAAAAGGCATCGAAGTGCTTGATGGTCGCCATAAATGGAGGATCAAGCTCAATGGGCTGAATGGACTATTTCTGTTTCTACGTTCTGTCTTACTTCTGGACATTAAACAACAGAATAAAAGTCAATTGTAAATCTTTTATTTCCTGGATGAGTAGAAAATATTCCATTTATCATTTGTACTCTGCTGTGAACTAAACAGTATATGGAAAGATCATACTTTATCTGCAGCAATCTGCTGTTTTCTGTCATTCTGGGATCTAGAACTCTTTTGCAAATTGGTCATCATCAGTTGGAGATGGACAGATCCTCGGAGAACCTCAGCAGGTCTGACAATGTCTGTGGGGAGAAAGCAGAGTTAATGTTTCAGCTCTAGGGACTCTTCTTCAGAACCCTGTACCCAGAATCCTTCTGAAGAAAGGTCACTGGACCCAAAACGTTAACTCTGCTTTCTCTCCACAGCCCTGTTGAGTTTTTTCCAGCAATTTTCCAGTTTCAGATTTCCAGCATCCACGGTTCTTTGTTTTATTTATTATTATGGACAGGCCTTTGTTGGACAAGGGCAAAAAGACCTACCGAACAGAATTAAAATACAGATCAGCCACAATTAAACTGAATGGCAGAACAGATTGAGGGGCTGAATGGCCTCCTCCTACTTTCATACTGAGTTTCTCAAGCATTCTCCGTGTTTGTTTCAGGTTTCCAGAAGCAGCAGAATTTTGCCTTTATTTGGAACTAGGTGATCTGCTTCAAAGCCAAGGCTTTGAAGAGCTGCACTTTGCTCCACCCTCCTTTCTTACCTCTTTATGAGGCAGTCTTTCCCACCAATTGTCACTTTTTGGTTATTGCCAGCTGTCAGATGTCTCCCCCAAAATGTGACCAAAGTCCCACCATCTTGAGGGCCATACATTGGAGTCACATGAGTTATGATAGGTTCCTACAAAACAAAAATTATATGCGTTCACAGCTGCCTCACAGATCCCAAGATTTGCAGAAAGTGTAGGCCGTTCCAATATCCGAATATATTGGAGCGATTGGTACAGTAAGCGCATTTATTAAGACATTATAGCAGAGAGACAGATTCAAGTTCATTCCTTGATCTTTGCAGAGCTAAGTGATTCAAGCTAGGGATCAGCTGAAATAGCAGCACAACTCATTTCACAGCCAATGACTAGTGGAAATTATGAGCACAGAAAGCTCCCACTTTTCATCACCATCAGAAGGCACAAGGGGGAGGACAAAAAAATGCTGGAAATCAAGCAGCATCCATGGAGAGACAGCAAGCTAACATTTCGAGTCTAGAATTCTCTTCATCAGAGCTGAAGACAGAGGGAAAGCAAGATTGAGTATGGCTGTGTGACCCTCCACATCATTGTCAAAGTGGCTGCTGATCCTGGTCTTCCGCCAATCAGCAGGCATTTAAGACCATTACAGGAAAATAAGCCAGAATACTGAAACCGCAGTCAGGTTTCCTGAATAGCCCCAACCCTGCTTAGTGGTTAGCGCTGCTACCTCACAGCGCCAGGGACCCGGGTTTGATTCCACCCTCGGGCGACTGTCTGTGTGGAGTTTGCACATTCTCCTCGTGTCTGCGAGGGTTTCCTCCGGGTGCTCCGGTTTCCTCCCACAGTCTGAAGATGTGCAGCTTAGGTGGACTGGCCACATTAAATTGCTCATTGGGTCCAGAGATGTGCAGGCTAGGTGGGTCAGCCACGGGAAATGCACGGTTAAGGGGATAGGGTGGATCTGGGTGGGATGCTCATCGGAGGGTTGGTGTGGGCTGAATGGCCTGCTTCCACGCTATAAAGACTTTATGTTGGTGGAAGGGATGAAATTTGCGATCAGATTGACAAACCTATTCAGCTCAGTGGAGGTGATAAGAACTTTATACAGAAATGGCTGCATTTGGAAGCAAAGTTGAGTGAGATGAGCTGCAAGGAGACAGCTATGAGCTGCTTATACCTTGCTCCTGTCCAGTCCTTTTCTCATTGCTATGTATTGCTGATTCAGAATGCGAGTGGCTTAAATTCGACACTGAAGCCCCAGAGAACTAAAGAATACCTTCTGCATCTACAATTTAAAGGGTACATCTTCATGACAAAATACAATATTCAAAACCAACTTGTGGAAAACAAAATCATAATGCTGTGAGAACCTCACCACGAATTCAAATCCAGCGAGGGATGTGGACCCACTGATGACGAACTCGCCGTTATGACTTGCCTCTCGAATAGTGATCTTGATGGTAGTCAAATTGGCAGGCTGAGGTTTTCCAGTGATTTCCAGCTGACATGACAACCTGCCACGAAACATGACACACTTGTCTTTTCATCTTAGAACTAAACCAGGCATGCATTCCATTTTGAAACAAGGCAGCACGGTGACTCAGTGGTTAGCACTGTTGCCTTACAGTGCCAAGGAACTGGGTTTGATTCCAGCCTCGGGCGACTGTCTGTGTGAAGTGTGCACATTCTCCCTGTGTCTGCACAGGTTTCCTCCAACAGTCCAAAGATGTACAGGTTAGGTGGATTAACCATGCTAAATTGCTCATTGTGTCCAGGGATATGCAGGCATGGTGGATTAGTCATGAGACACTCAGGGTTACAGGGAATAAGGTTAGGGAGGAATGGGTCTGAGTGGGATGCCCTTTGGACTTGATGGGCTGAATGGTCTGCTTCCACACTGTAGGGATTCTAGGATTCTACGTCTAGCAGCCGACAGGGGCGCCCTCGTTCTAACAAAAATACATTGAATAGAAAGGACAAATGTGCCTTTATCAGGATGGGAGAGCAAACTTGTTTGATCGCCATGACGCTTTTCAGGAGAAATTCAATTGAATTATCATCCATACTCCAAGACATAGTTTGGACAGGGTTTTGTCCTTTGGGTCGGGTCCCTAAATGTCTGGGTAAAATGGGCTGAAGCCCACACAGTGTGGAAACAGCAATCAGGCAGTAACTGGTCAGAGTGTGGTTTGGCATCTAATTAAAGATGATGGACATGCTCATGAACGGGAGGTTTAATTGGGAGTCTGGAAACATGCCATGGGAGGTCACCAGCTGGCCTGGACTAGAACATCTTGGAAGGTCCACGGACCGACCGAAAAATTCTAGTCAGTTTCTGACCGTAGCCCTTTAACTATCCGTTATTTAGCTGTGTGCTGTTGTGAGTGCCCAGCCCTGTCTCGCCTTCATTCCATAATGATCTAACGATGGGAAGGAGCCGGAAAATCAGCATCAATTTTCATACCTTACAAACCCACCACATCCCCCTCTTGCTGTACCCCTTACATACAGAACAGAATATTTTATACTAGAAACAAAACTAATATTGAGATAGAAATAGTAGGAACTGCAGATGCTGGTGAATCCGAGACAACAAGGTGCAGGGCTGGATGAACACAGCAGGCCAAGCAGCATCATAGCAGCAGAGAGGCTGACGTTTCGGGCCTAGACCCTTCATCAGAAAAGATATTGAGATAACACAGTGTGGATCTGGAGGAGCACAGCAGGCCCTGAAGAAGGGTCCCGACCCGAAATGTCAACTTTCCTGCTCCTCCTATACTGCCTGACCTGCTGTGTTCCTCCAGCTCGACACTGTGTTATCTCTGACTCTAGCATCGGCAGTTCTTATTATGTCTAATATTGAGATTTCTCTGTTAAGCTCAATGGCAGTTTCCATTCGCAAGCATCTCCAAAGAATAAAAAGAGATGAACAGTTTCTTCATTTTTGAAGCAATTAAAGCAAATCTTCATCAGAACTTGTACCTACTGCATTAGAAATTTTGTGAAGTCAAGATACCTGGACCACGATGGTTTAGCAATGTGCAGTAAGCTCATGACCCCTTCTGGTCATGCACAGAATCATTGAACAACAGAAGTTAGTTGCTTTGAGACATTTCCAAGCAACAAATGAAAATGCTATAAAAATATAACTCTTTTCTTTCTTTACCATTGCGGTGTGCTTTTTAAAATTATTTTTAATTAAAATTATTTTTAAATTATTTTACTATTATAAGAACGTGCGCGCTTGTGCAGTGATTCATTGTTTGACAGCTAGAAGCTAGTCCATTAACGACCTACACACAGAGCGCTAATAGATTGTGAGAGGTGGTTTTGCTGGAGGCAACAAATGGAGCACCACCTATTTTTAAACTGATTACAACACAGGATGATTGTTGTCATGGGAACAAACAGTGCACAAGCCGACACAACTCCAAAACAGTACACTGCTTTGGTATGTAATGGCTTACCGTCAAAACTTTGCACTTTTGCTTCTAATCCCCATAACAGGAATAGGCCTTTCGGCCTCTCAATCCTGTTGGGCCACACGATTGGATCATGGCTGACTGCATGTGAACTCCACTCAACTGCCCTCAATGTCGGAGCTCAACAAAAATTGACTAATCTCAATTTCACCATTTTCTGATCTTCAATTTAAGTAATTTCAATGGCAAGGCTGGTATCTGATGCCCATCTCCAATTGCCCTTGAACTGATGGGTGGCATGGTGGCTCAGTGGTTAGCACTGCTGCCTCACAGTGCCAGGGATACTGATTCAAATCCAGCCTCAGGTGACTGTCTGTGTGGAGTTTGCATGTGTGGGTTTCCTCTAAGTGCTCTGGTTTCCTGTCACAGCCCAAAGATGTGCATATTAGGTGGATTGGCCATGCTAAATTGCCCCACAGTGTCCAGGAGTGTGCAGGCTAGGTGGATTGGCCATGGTAAATTGTCTGTAGTGTCCAGGGGGTGGATCAGCCATGGTAATAGGTGGGGTTACAGGGATAGGGTGTGGGACTGGTGCTGGGTGGGATCCTCTTCAGAAGTTTGGTTTGGACCTGTTGGGCCAAATGGCCTCTCTCCATGCTGTAGGGCTTCTATGAATGGCTTACTATACCATTGCTCTGGTGCTACATGTAGGTGAAAGCAGGAAAGAATTACAGATTTCCCTCCCTCATAAAGGGCATTAGTGAACCAAATCAATTTTTCTAACAATTGATGGCAGTTTCACAGTCACCATTACTGAGACCCGATTTCGCTGAGCTTCTGTATTGCTAATCCAGTGACATTACCTCCAGCTCCATCTCTCCTGCTGACTACCCAGCCTCAAATGCTTTTTGCCTAAGAGATTTCCATATTCCATTAGCCCAGAGCAAACACCATCTTGTAGATTGGAGGGTGGGTGTGTAATCTGATCCACTTTAGGAGCCAGCTAAGTGCAACCAATGGATGCTTTTAGCTTTTCTCCCTCACTCTGGGGAAATCCTCCAGCCTCTGTTGTCTCCTCATGTCACAGTGAGGCTGAGAGCCCAGCACATGAGAGAAGCTGAACCTTATTGCTTGGGTATCATGTGCTGGGCCATTTTTATTTTTCTGAAATGAGTAGATTTTCTCGTGGGTGAAATGTTTTCAATGAAGGCAATTCTCACCAAAAGGAAACAGGAAAATGGGAGATCATGACCAAACATTCTTGGATCAATCAAAGAAATGTTCAAATACTTTTCTCTACAGAGAGTGAAGAAAATGCTTATACCACACTCACATCTCACATCAAAAATATCCACTTAATTGTTCCCTATAAAAGATAACTAAGAACAAGAGCAAAGATCACAAGTTTCATTTTAAAATTCTAATCTAATTTACACATCATGTTTGGGCCAAATTTTAATAGCCTCAATCCAGGACTTTATAAGAGATGGCATGAATTTATTCAACATATCAGTGAACATGTTTAGGATGGTGCAGGAGGAGTGAGCTAAGAATTAAGCGTAATATAGCTGAATGAATATTTTGAATTTTGGCTGTTTAACTCTAGACATATTTCCATGTTCAGTGCATCAGGCTGATGCCACAAAAATACACTATCCATGCCAAATGAGAATGCACAATTACATGCCCAATGCCTGGCTAATTCCAAGACTTATTAAGATATTTATTATAGAGTCATACAGCACGGAAACAGATCCTTCGGTAAAAGTGTAGATATTGCTGTCCAGACCGCCATTTACTGCCAACTCTAACTGCCCTTCAGAAAGTGGCACTGAGTCAACTTCTTGAACCACTGCAGTCCCTGTGGCCTTGGGAAGGCAGTAGCGTGCTGTTACTATCACAGGCTGACAATCCGGAACACCATGCCAGTGTTCAGGGCATATGGGTATGAATCCCACCATAACAGATGGAGAGTTTTGAATTCAATCCAAAAAAAAATCAACCTGGCCTAATGGTGACCATGGAACCATTGTTGACTGTCATAAAGACCCATCTGGGCCTGGCCTACATGTGACTCCAGAACCACCGCAATGTGGTTGATGCTCAACTGCCCTCTGAGCAATTAGGGATGGGTAATAAATGCTGACCCACCCTATGAACAAGTAAGAAAAAAATGTATCCACATAGTACTGTTAGGGAGAGAGCTCCAGGATTTTAGTCCAGTTTATTAATTGAATTCAAATTCCATCAGCTGCTATGGTGGGATTTGAATCCATAATCCCAGAGCATTAGCCTGGATCTCTGGATTGCTAGTTCAGTGACATTACCACAATGCTATCATTTCCATCCAGTGAACATATCCAGTGGTCTTTAAAGGGACCTCTGCTAAAAAATCAATGCAGAAGGCTTTTATCTTTTTGATAGATCTAGGGAAAGCAGACCTCAACAGGCTTAGGCCAAAAGCATGCAAGAACAGGTAGACTTAATTTCCATTCCATCACTTCAAGCTAACTTTGTTCATTACCTTAAAATCATTCCCTAAAAGTTTATAGAGACATACAGCATGGAAACAGACCCTTCGGTCCAACCAATTCACACCAAACATAATCCCAAACTAAACTAGTCCCACCTTCCTGCTCCTGACCAATATCCCTCCAAACATTTCCTATTTCATGTATCCATCCAAATGTCTTTTGAATGTTGTAATTGTACCCGCATCCACCACTTCATCAGGTAGTTCATTCCACACGCATTCATTCCAAATCTCTGTGTAAAAAAATTGCCTCTTATGGCTTTTTTAAATCTCTCTCCTCTCACCTTAAAAATGTGCCCCCTCGTCTTGAAATTCCCCATACTAGAGAAAAGACAACTAACATCAACACTACCTATACCTCTCATTATTTTAGAAACTTCTATCAGGTCACCTCTCACCCTCCTATGCTCCAGTGAAGAAAGTCCCAGCCTATCCAGCCTTTCCTTATAAATCAAACCTTCCATACCCGGCAACATTCTGGTAAATCTCTTCTGAACCCTCTCCAGCTTGGTAATATCCTTCCTATAACTGGGCAACCAGAAGTGGACACAGTATTCCA